TCTTTTTTTTCTCTTTTTTTTTCTCTTTTTTTTTCTCTCTTTTTTTTCCTTTCATTTCTCTCTTTTTTTCTCTTTCATTTCTCTCTTTTTTTTTCTCTTTTTCCTGCAATCCGACGGTGGGCCCTTCGACGACGGTCCTCTTTTTTTTTCTCTTTTCTTTTTTTTTCCCTTTGCAAATCTTTTTCTTTTTCTTTTTTTTGTCTTTTCTTTTCCTCTTTTTCAAATATTAAACATTTCTTCTCTTTTTTTTTTTCTCTCTTTCTCTTTTTCCTGCAATCTGACGGCGGGCCCTTCGAGATATTCACTTGAATCGACGACCGTCGGCTCTCGGCCCCTGTGGGCGCGCTCTCTCGTTTGCCGGCGTGCTATGAACAATTGGGTACGCGCACCGCTTTGTGCGCACCCCCGCCCTCGATCGCCTTCATCCGCCGGGCTGAATCAAAAGTTTGGCCCGATTCCGGCGCGCAGCGGAACACGACCTCCCCACCGCGGGCCCACCGTGCTTAAGGGGTAGGATTTCAAATCCGATTAACACAATATTTTTTTTTTAATTATTGTTTTTTTTAACACATCTCGACTAACTCAACGATCACGATCAATAAATGCAGTTATTTATAGATAAATTGATTCACATTCCGAATCTGATTGGGAATCATAGATTTATTCACTCGTCAGCCAAATCAATTAACGACATCCAGTGAATTACCTGGTTGATCGATGGAATCATCATGTTTGTTGAATGTCCGACTTACTTACCCGATTGATTGATACCGATTGATTGGTCGATCGATTGATCGATTGATTGGTATATCGATTGATTGATTGATTGATTGATTGATTGATTGATTGATTGATTGATTGATTGATTGATTGATTGATGGGTCGTTCGATTGATTGATCGATTGATTGATTGGTTGATCGATTGACCGATTGATTGATCGATTGATTGATCGACCGATTGATTGATTGATTGATTGATTGATTGATTGATTGATTGATTGATTGATCGATCGATTGATTGATTGGTTGATCGATTGATCAATCGATGGATGAATTGATCGATTGATTGATCGACTGACTGATTGATTGATTGATTGATTGATTGATTGATTGATTGATTGATTGATTCATTGATTGATGCATTGGTCATCCCGTTATTGATGAGGTCAAGGATCCATAGATTTCAATCTCTCTCCTAGTTCATCAAACAGGTCGTTGATGAGTTAATTTGATTCCTTCGATTAATCGAATTAATTAGATTGAATGGATGGAGCCGTTTTACCCACAAATAGATTGGAGCCACCAGCGAGAAGGATACTTGGGGGAGATGAGCATATCAAATCCCCCCCCAGTAGATCCCGTCGGTTGGGAAGAAAAAAAAAAAAAAAAAAAAAAAAGCGGAATTTTACTAATGCTGACTCAAACTTTCAAAAAAACACGCGAAAAAGAAAAAAACTGTTAGAATAATAATCCATCAATGATTTTTTATTTTTTATTTTTTTTGTTTTTTTAGTTTACAAGTGGGCAATCAGGTCTGCTTCCGTTCCGTTCCGTTCCGTTTGATCTTCCGTTCAGGATTATATACCTCCATACTACGGGGAAAGCGACAGGGAGTTAATCAGCCGAACCCTCTTTTTTCCTCCTCCTCTTTTTTTTTTTTGTGTTTTTTTCGAGAAAGAGGAGAGGCCTGATCGGCCCTAGGTAATCAGAATTATTTCTTTCATTGCTTCTCCTTTTTTCGTGAGTGTGTTTTTCAAGAAAGAGGGAAGGCCCGATCAGCCCTATAGGTAATTCAGAATTATTTCATTCCGTTTTCTGATTGCATCTGGATTCGAACTTGGGTCTGATTCATATTTCAACAGTTCATGGGTGTACCAACTGAGCTAGGCCAGTTGGTAAGAGGCGGTGGTTGTTGTTTGTTTTGTCATCACGGCTTTGAAAAATCTGGTGATGGTGCTACAGGAAGTTTTTTTTTTTTTTTTTT